AAATACTTAATTTCTACACTCTATTCCTCCCTCCATTTTATGTTTTTGGTGTCACAATTTACATACTTTAACCTTGTGTATACATTAAAAATTCTAAGCTATGCTTATTTTTAATATGCTTTTGTCTTTTAACCTTCATACTAGAGTTATAAGGACTTACCCACCACTATTACAACAGCACTCAGAATTTAACTATGTAGTTATCAGTGAGACATACTTTCAGAGGTTTGTTACTAATTAGCACCCTTGGATTCAGGTGGATGAAGTCCCTTTCAACATTTCTGTAAAGCTACTCCAGTGGCAATGAACTCCCCCAGCTGTTGCTTGTCTGGGAAATCATCTCCTTCAATTCCGAAGGACAGCTTTGCTAGGTATTCTTGATTGCCAGTTTTCATTTTTTTTTTTTTTTTAATCTTTCCGTCCTTTTGAATGTATCACGTCACGCCACTCTGGCCTACAAAGTTTCTGCTGAAAAATCTGCTGACAGTCTTATGGGGGCTCCTTTGTACATAACACGTTTTTTCCTGCTGCTTTTAAGGTTTTCTCCTTTAACATTTCACAATTATCATGTGTCTCAATGTGGGGCTGTTTAGATTTATCTTTTGGGGATTTCTCTGTGCTTCCTAAATTTCGGTATCTGTTTCTTTCACCAGGTTAGGAAAATTGTCAGTGATATTTCTTTGACTAAGCTTTCTGCCCCTTTCTCTTTTTCTTCTACTGCTGGGACCCCCTATAATGCACATGTTTGTTCACTTGATGGTGTCACGTAAGTCCTTTAAGGTGTTTTTACTCATTTTTTTTCCTTTTGTTCCTCTGATTGAATTTTCACTGCCTTGTGAGTTCACTGATCCGTTCTTCTACTTGTCTGCTGCTGAACTCCTCTCCTGAGTTTTCCATTTCAGTTATTGTATTCTTCAGCTCTGTGATTCCTGTCTGGTACTTTCTTATAGTTTCTACCTTGTTAAAAAATTCTCACTTTGTTTAAACATTGTTCTCTTGATATCAGTGAGCATCTTTTGACCACTAGTTTTAATTCTTTACTAAATAACTCACTTATCTCTGTTTCATTAAGGTCTGTTTCTGGAGTTTTATCTCATTCTTTTGTTTGAAACATATCCTCATTTTTCATTTTCACTGACTCTTTATGTTGGCTTCTGTATCTTAGATGAAAGAGCTACTCTCTCAGTCTTGACAGAGTAATCTTGTGTAAGGGAATCTTATACATCAGCTTGGCCAGAGCTCCTTCCTGTCTTAACTTTTGTGATTTTCCATGCTGCCTTCTTTGTTCTTAGTGGCTTGCAGTAGTTCAGAATGTGTAAGCATCCTAAAGAGGAAGACTGCAGTTAGTACTTGGATGCAAGCTGACTGAAAGCTGTACTGTAGGCAGCAACAGGGAAAGTAGTCAGGGCTCTCCCAAAGAGAAATCAGGGTGACAGGCTTTTTCGCATGTTCCCTCTACACTGACTCCAGGTATAGACCCTTGTGAGGTGTGGGCAGGGCTGCTATACCCATTAATAACTGATTCTTTGCTACAGATCCATGGCACTATAAGCATAAATCCTGCTGGCTATTAGAGCCAGGTGATCAGGGGCCTCTCCCTTCCATGGCAGCTACAGAAGTGGAAGCAGCAGACGTGTGTAAGCTCCTTTTAGTGAGATACTGTCAATGTGCAGCGGGCAGACAACTCATTGGAAAAGTCCTGACACTGCGAAAGACTGAGGACAGAAGGAGAAGAGGGCATCAGGGGATGAGCTGGCTGGACGGCATCACCAATGCAAAGGACATGAACTTGGGTAAACTCCAGGAGCTAGTGAGGGACAGGGAGGCCTGGCATGCTGCGGACCACGGGGTCGCAAAGAGTCGGACACAACTGAGCGACTGAACAACAAGTGGGCTAAAGGGCTTCCCTGATGGCTCAGATGGTAAAGAACCTACCTGCAATGCAGGAGACTCAGGTTCAATCCCTGGATGAGGGAAAGGCTACCCACTCCAGTATTACTGCCTGGAGAATTCCATCAACTGAAGAACCCGGTGGGCTACAGTCCATGGGGGTCACAAAGAGTTGGACACGACTGACTAACAGTAACTTGAGTGGGTTTAAGTGAGAAGGTATAGATGGTATGTTATCTGCTGGCTTCCCCAGTCTCCAGGGAGGGTCCCCATCAGCTCCTAAATGCATGCTAAATTCTCGTGTCATCCTTAATAAAAGCCAGTTCTTCTGTGACCATTTTCGGTTTCTCCATAACTTCATTTTGAGTAACTGTCCTTATACAGAATAGTTCTTGTCCTATTTTAACACTTTCTGCATTGATGTCTAATAATTTATGATATATACCAGTCTTCTCTTACTTACTTACTGGGTTTTTCAGCTTTTATCGTCCACAGTAATTTAAAATGTGGAACTCCTTTTTTCCTTCCACTGGCATTTGGATCTAGCGTATTTTTTACACCTGTTTTACCATTACCTTCCCTTGCTGCCTAGTCAGTCCTTAATCATTTTTTAAACATTTAACTTTCATATTCCAAAATTCATGATTACTCTCTCCATGTGCTGATGTAAACCTTTGGCATTTTTGAAGGCAACAGCAGAGTACTATATTTTCTAAGCTGCTGCATGCCTTGATACTCCTTCTGGCATCTTCATCACTCTTATTCCATTAAAAATATGTAGACATTGTTCACTTGTCTTCTGACAGTTAATATAACAGAAACAAGGAGTAAGCCTTCCAATTTTTCTACCTAGATGTTTGAATAATTTTTTCTTTCCTATGTTTCCCCAGAACATTAACGTTTCTGTTAATTTTGTTAATGTTGTTCTTGTTGAGTCACTAAGTCATGTCTGACTCTTTGTGACCCCACTGACTGCAGCACACCAGGCTCCCGTGTCCTTCACCATCTCCCGGAGTTTGCTCAGATTCGTACCCATTGAGTCAGTGGTGCTATCTAACTATCTCATCCTCTGCCAATCCCTTCTCCTTTGGCTTTCAAGCTTTTCCATCATCAGGGTCTTTTCCAAAGAGTCGGCTCTTTGCATCAAGTGGCCAAAGTATTACAGCTTCAGCCTCAACATCAGCCCTTCCAATGAACATTCAGGGTTGATTTCCTTTAGGACTGACTGGTTTGATCTCTTTAATGAAGAGACCTTAATGAAACAAAGCCTTCTAAATCTTCCCAGTTAGTAAAAATCTTAAGTTTTTCTCTTATATTGTAATTACTGCTTTAGAGCACCATTTGTTTTTCTTTTTAATAAATACCATTTACTTGTTGGTTCTTTGTCTTTATTTTTCTTTCATTCCCTGCCCCCCCCCGCCGCCCACCCATATTTTAGAGAGTTTGGCAGATGTTTTCCAGGTGACTGACTTTTGGATTCAATGTTAATTATGCTTATCTTCAGTGAAGTATTCTGTATTAGTTTTTTTTTCCTCCCATGTATTTTACCTAGTTTCTGTTATAGTTAGGACAGATACTTATTTGAAAGTACTGAGAAGACAAACATAGTGAATTAAGAACTTCAGCTCTGGAGTAAGACTGCTTGGAACTGAATCCATCTCAGCTACTTACCAGGTAGTTGACCTTGGGAATTTATTTTACCACTCCATGCCTCAATTTCCTTATTTATATAGGAGGGATAATAATGGTACCTACCCTATTGAATTTTTGTAAGGATTAAGGGAATTAATACAAATAAAGCTTCTAGGTCAGTACTTAGCACATCAGTTCAGTTCAGTTCAGTCACTCAGTCGTGTCCGACTCTTTGCAATCCCATGAACCACAGCACGCCAGGCTTCCCTGTCCATCACCAACTCCCAGAGTCCACTCAAACCCATGTCCATTGAGTCGGTGATGCCATCCAACCATCTCCTCCTCTGTCGCCCCCTTCTCCTCCTGCCCTCAATCTTTCCCAGCATCAGGGTCTTTTCAAATAAGTCAGCTCTTCGCAGCAGGTGGCCAAAGTATTGGGAGTTTCAGATTCAACATCAGTCTGTGCAAAAGGAAGCTAGCTGTAACTACTATACAGAAATTTTTTAAAGTGGCCTTTGTCATAGTCCTCGGAACAGTTTTTTTCCATGTTATCTTTTTCTCCTTCAAAGATAAGGATTCACTGTGAATTACTTGCCATGCGAGATCTGTAATACCACATTTCTATCCCCTTAATCCCCCACTACTGTCAGTATGATCTTGGACAGAAGCTTTCCCTTCTCTGAACTACAGCTGAGGTTGGTGTGCATAGACCCTGCCTACAATGTGTTTTTTTTTTCCTAGATAAGATGCAACTCAGGACACTTATGCTGCATTTTTATCTGGTTAAGAACAGGCATTGTAGCATACTGAATATGACAATCTCTTCTCTTCATAAATCCATTCAGTTGATCAGTTTAGTTTCCACCTTCTTTCCTACTCTCTGTGCTGCTGCAGTAATGAAAACAAAATCCCTAATCTCACCCCCAACAAATTCTGAATGATGAGCTTATGAGAAATTGCACTCACTTCAGACCTGAGCACATGGATTCCTCTTATTTCTAGCAACACTACACACAGTGTCTTTGGCTTCTTGACTAATAATATAAGGCATTCCTAGTTTGCGCAGAATAAGTACTCTCACTTGGAAGAGTCTATTAAATCTAAATTAGTGACAGGTAATATTCACTTAATCTTTAACAATCCTCAAAAATGTAAATTAAAGATTTATTCCTCTAACATGGAAGCTTCTACTTGTAAGTCACTAATATAATTATGCACAATGGTATTTCAAACAGTATAGCTTTACAACAAAAATCTTTTCAACATTATAAAAAATGTAAAGAAGAAGAAAAAACTACAATCTCAAAGGTTTGGGGATTTGATCTTTTTACCTTATTTTTTAAAAAGAGTTGAAAATAATAAAAATTTAAATAGATTGTTCTGATATTGGCAGACACAATTATTCTGACACAAGTCATCCTGATTACAGCAGGCCTTTCTGGCTACATAGGGCTGTCGCCATAGACCACAGCCATTGTCTACAGCTTCTGGATCAGCATGGCGGAAGCGCCTCCTCCTCCGTTGCAGATACTGGCAAGACCATATTCTCCTTGCTTCAACGCATGAGCCAAATGGACAACGATTCTGGCTCCAGACATCCTAGGATCAAGAAAGCATTGTGGTACTTTAATGGTTTATAGACTGTGTGAATAACCAAATGAGCCATGACTTGTAGCTGAAGTTAACAACTTTAACTGGGGAGCCTTGTTTCAAGAATGGTTACAGCTTTTTTTTTTTTTTTGGCCACTCTGAGCAGCATGTGGGACCGTGGTTTCCCAATCAGGGACTGAGCCCCACCCATGGCAGTAGGAGTGCAGAGTCTTAAACACTGGACAGCCAGGGAAGCCCCACAAAAGCCCGAACATAGACTTGAATCTTAAATTATCTTCTTCAGCATAAAACAACATTACTTTTCAAGCAACAAGAGTGATAGATCTCTGTGTTCAGAAATGGTGTTTGCCTTATGAAGGACGGGTAGGAAGAAAAAATGGTAAACAGGACCAACAGGAATTATCATGAAGCAGTTTAAATTTAGAGAGAAATACAAAGATAGCCATTAATCTAGCTTTCTTTTTCTTTATGATTTTACCTACCCAATCGGATGTCCAAGAGAAACAGCTCCTCCATTGATATTCACTTTTTGGGGATCAAGCTCTAGCATTTTAATGTTTGCCAGTACGACCAGACTGAAGGCTTCATTTACTTCCCACATACTAATATCTTCTTTTTTCAAACCTGCATCTTTAAGAACCTAAATTAAAAAAAAATAAAGATTATGTTCACATAATTAGGTCAAAACTTACTTTATCTTCTCAAAATTCTGCAATTTTTGTCTGTGTCTCCCCTGTTCCCAGCAGTGGAAGTGTGGAATCCTGGCCACTGGATCACCAGGAAATTCCTTAATTTCTCACCTTTGTTTGCATTATCATATTTCTATTCTGAAAAGAGAAAACTTGATTTTCTTGAACATTCCATGGAAAAGAACACATACTCTCTATTTGGGGGTACATACTTGACATATATTCTTGAGATCCACTTTCCTGATTATATGCTGCTTAGTTCTAGATTCTTTATCTGTCAAAGAAAGAGGTGTACTCTGTGTGTGTGTATGCTCAGTCACCCAGTCGTGTCCAACTCCGCGACCCCATGGACTGCACCCCACCAGACTCCTCTGTCCACGGGATTCTCCAGGCAGGAATACTGGAGTGGGTTGCCATTTCCTACTCCAGGGATCTTCCCAACCCAGGGATCAAACCTATGACTCTTGTGTCTCCTGAACTGGCAGGAGGATTCTTTACTACTGTACCACCTGTGAAGCCCTTATCTGTCAAAGAATTACATTAATCTCTAATAATTTTTCATTGCATCCCCTAGAGTTTCTGCTTTATAAAAGGTGCCATGGGGTTATTTGGGGCACAGTTATTCAGAGTGATTGTGTATTCACTGTGAATGATTTATTTAAAGTCTTATTATGATTTCTTGTTCTGATAGTTCCTCAGCTATTGCAGATGTTATCTTTATGCTTTTATCTTTATAAAATATTGCTAGAGTCCTTTATCTTTACAACATTTTTTGTTCTGAGCAACATCAAAATTAACATGAAACTTTCCCTCCTCCTTACTTTCTTCAACAGCAGGCTCAGGTAGCTTTCTAAGCTGTAAAGCTCAAACAGCTTCCTCTAGTTTCAACAACAAACAAGTAGCTACGTGTAGCCACTTTTCTCACTCTCAGAATCTAGCTGAGAAATGTTTATCACCCTCCTTTCCAGTGTGATGCGTTCACTTTCAGAAGCTGTATAACTGTGTTGTTTTCTGAGATCTGCCACCTCTGGACAGAGCGTCATCACTCCCTGTTCCTTATGCTTCGCTATCCTACTCCCCTCTGGTTTTTTTCTTTAAATCTGGATGTTACCCCCAGAAGTTCTCTCTCGGGGTGTGGCCTTCTACTTCTGAAAAGGAGTATGTGCTGCAGTCCTCTGAAATCCCTTAACCACTAAACCAACACAACACTGAGTCTTTTCATGTGACCCCTTAGTTACTTCCCACAAAGACTCAAACTGACAGTTTGGAGAAGGGTTCTCGCCATCTTTAGCTTTACTCTAACACCAGCTACCAGCAGTTCCCCTCTTAGAAGACTGCTCCTTCTAAGTAATGAATATCTGCTTTGAATTCGAGAGCCCTGGACTCTCAGCATTCCCCTTTCTCTGCCATACCAACTTCCTACTTTATGGTTATCATTCTCTGTGTGTGAGTTTAGCACAAGGAATTCAATTACACAGTTTTAATCTGCTCCACTGAAGATATAGTTTGTGTGTTGCTCTTTTACTTTTGTTGTTATCCGTGTTGCTTTCATTGTTTTCAGGAGAAGTGAGATTTGAAACTAAGCTACTGCTATGCTTTGGAAGATGAATAACATTTAAATTCTAAAACATGCAACCTTGGTATAAGCAAAACCAGAAATTGGCAGAATGAAATATGATCTATATTATTTTGTTCTCACCTTAGGAACAGCATATGCAGGTGCAACTGGAAAATCAATAGGTTCTACAGCAGCATCAGCAAATGCTTTATATAAAAAAGAAACAGGTCATTAAAATCTTTTTTACAAATACCCAAAGCTATATCTAACAACTTATATGATATGCAAAAATTCAATTGTAAAATATTTAAATGTGTTTGTGCATTTTCTAAGATTCTGTACTTTATAAAATTATGCCAATCATCTAAGCCATTGATTTTCACAGATAGGGAGTTAGAGGGAATTGCCTCCTGGGACAATGGCATTATCTAGAAATATTTTTGGTTCTTGCAACAGGTAGAATGCCACTTATTATAGTATCTAATGGGCAGAAGCCATGGATGCTGTTAAAAATCCTACAATGCATAGAACAGGCCCTACAACACAATTATTTGTTTTGCAGAGGTTAAGAAACCATGATCTAAACAAAACGGTAACTGTTTAACTCCTTATGAAGAAGGCAAGGCAGACTTTACAGCTACAAATATGCTTCAAGAGACTGAGGAAATGCTGAGACACATAAAGTGAAGTTGCCCAGTCGTGTCCGACTCTTTGTGACCCCATGGACTGTAGCCTACCAGACTTCTCTGTCCATGGGATTTTCCAGCCTAAAGTACTGGAGTGGGTTGCCATTTCCTTCTCCAGGGGATCTTCCCGACCCAGGCATCGAACCTGGGTCGCCCGTACTGTAGGCAGATGCTTTACCCTCTGGGCCACCAGGGGAGGATCTTCTGAGACCACATAGTTAATAATAAATGCCAGTACTGTTACATTTTTCATACTCCTAAGGTCATATCCTTTCTATTCTACCTGACAATGCCAGAGGAAAACCTGTACCTTGTACTCTCCCACCATTCAGAATAGGAAAAGATTTTTGAAAACTTTCCCTTATATAAATCAAATCATAATGAAAATATTAAAGGAGATTCTATCTCAATTAAAACGTGTACTAAATTGTGTCACAACGTAAGACAGATAAAAATCACCAACTTCTATTATTACTGACAAAGAATCTCAATATCAAGAAGAGTTTATAGGGGTTTAGGAATAAACCAGTTCAGAACACTCTCTACCTGCTATTCTTGCCAGTGGTTTAACACCGAGCCTCTTCGCTGCATCTGCGGTCATCAGAACCACAGCAGCTGCTCCATCATTCAGCGTGCTGGCGTTGGCAGCTGTCACTGTACCTGAAAGTGTCAGTGAGCATGACATCAGAACATTCTTTCACGCTGAATTCACTGGGGTCAATTTAACAAATTCCCACAGAACACTGCCTGGGTTGCTAGATGCATGAAGATATGGATGGAAGTAAGTCCTGCCCTTAGGACATATACATAACTCAACGTGTAAGTGTATAACACAGTTAAGGTATGTATGTCTTTTTATGTTAGTTTTTTGTGTTTATTCTAAGCCAGCTCAAAATGCATGCATAATGGCACTGGACAGATTCTGGTTTATAATTCATCAAAGATAAGGACCTCTTCACGTTTCTCCTAACTATGTCTTCCCTTATCCACAACAGACCAGACACTCATACATTTTGCAAATCAATGTCAAAATCAGATACTACTTCTTCTCTACAATCACTTGAAGTTAAATGAATACTAAAAATCACTAAACTATACACTTTAAACAGGAGAATTTTATGGCATACAAATTATATGTCAATTAAGCTGTTTCCTTATAAATACCAATGAAGATACTATTATAGACTGCTGTCAAAATTATAAAAATATACTTTGGCAATATAATTTTTTTTTAGCCAAGCCACGAGACTTGTGGGATCTTAGTTCCTGACCAGGGATTGAACCCATGTCCCCTGCAGTGGAAGCACAGAGTCCTAACTACTGTACTGCCAGAAAATTCCTTATAATATAAACTTGTAAGAAAATTCCTTACAATATTAAAAAAAACAACAACAACATTGATCCACTCCTATAGCTCCCATTGAGAAATTCAGTCAGAAAAGGGGAAAAAGGTTATTTCAGATTATTATCACAGCTATATACAGCCAATTTTAAAAGCAGAAGTGACCTTTTCTGCTCAAAGGATTTAGAACCCTGGAACCCCATTTAGATACATTTATTTATTGAGGACCAGAGATACAACACTAAAAAAAGAGCTATCAGCTTAGTCCTCCAGAGGCTTACAGATATTTAACATAATATGTAAACCTGACTTTCATATCACAAAAAAACTTCAAGATGAAATGCACACGAAAAACTGAATCATATAGTCATTCTACAATCTGTTTCAGAGGCTATATATATTTATTATTAAAAGTACTAACAGTATATAAAATAGATAACTAGTAAGAACCTGCTGTATCACACAGGAAACTCCACCTAATACTCTGTAATGACTTAAATGGGAACAGAATCTAAAAATGAATACAAATATATATATAAATATATATAAACTGATTCACTTTGCTGCACAGCAGAAACTATTCCGACACTGTAATTCAACAATACTCCAATAAAAAATAATTAAAAAAAACTTCAAACACATATATACAAAAACAAAGAGTTATTAAACAATTTTAAATATACTTTGAATATGTTTTAATTTCATTTGAGCCTAATACACTGAAAATGTTAAATAACATCAAGATGTTTTCTAGAATTACTTTTTAAAAATCCTTAGGCAAAAAAAAAAAAAAGAGAAAAGAAAAACAAAATCCTTAGGCAGTTCTACAACTAGATATGGTACACTGACTGTCTTTTTTTCATATGCTTCATTTCTTAATACTAACCATTTTCTCTTTGGAAAACCGTCTTCAGCTTTGGAATTTTGCTAAAATCAACACGTTTATATTCTTCATCTTCCTTTACCACTACATCTGGTTTACCTAAAACAAAAATCTTAAATTAAGTAATCTTTGCAGTAAAGACAACAGTTACTTGCTCAGTAAGAAATGGTGCAAAAGGTGCCTGATAGTCTCTACTTCCCTTTGTGTGCCCACATACCTTATACCATCCCAAGTAAACTCCACTCAAGAATCTACCATCTGTAATTTGTTAGTGTCTTAAAGAAGAGTTTATTAAGTAGTTTGATGCAATTTAAATCTTCTATTCAGCCACATCCCACTGTCTTCTCTCTTGAGCTCATTCTATGATCACAGACATTCTTCTAACCCCACGGGTAGATGTCCAATGTAGCTGTAGGCTGGGTAAGTTTCGTTAAGCTTGGGTATTCCATCATTCTCATCACAGTAATTATTTCTAGAATGGAAATGTAACCCAAACCAAGTTAATGAGTCTTTACTGTGGATTCATTCTGCTGCGGTTGGTGACGAGGTGTCTTTCCCCTGTGAGAGCCCTACAGATGGACTCTGGAGATGGCGGCAGCAGTGTAGGAAGCTGAGAGCACAGAAGCAGCACTGAGAAGCCACGATGGCATGTCCTAACGGCGCTGCCCGCTCTCTCCCAACCCCTGCAGCTCCCGGCGCTGACCGGCTGCTGCCGTACAGCTCTCAGTTCTGGGACAGACCCCCAACTAGCCTTCTAGTAAACACCCCCTTTTCACATAACGTGTTCAACAGTCTATCGGTTATATTAAAAAGAGTTCTAATAAATACATTTCTCAAAAAAAATAGGCACAGTGGAATTTGCAATTGAGTTGGAATCAGATATTAAATTGGGATGAATTATCTCTGAACTAGCAACATTTCCCTTTACTAACCATTAGCAGCAGTGTCAGCATCTTCAGTTGAAATTTTAAAAGTACCAATTTAAAACTTAAACATAAAAAGTTTAGCAACATGTGAGGTCTATTAAAAATTAAAATCTATTTTGGAACATAATCCTTCAACCTTTTACTGTAATTGTGACAGGAACAACTTCATTTCCAAATCTTCCAGCTTCCCACGCCGCTTTACTTCTGGTATAGGAATTAAGAGCGTAAGTATCCTGTTCCTCTCGTGCAATGCTCAGCTTCTTTGCAGTATTTTCAGCACAGTTGCCCTGATAAAAGTTGGAATTTTTAAAAAATCTAAGTAACTCTGCAAAACTTATAAAGTATTAGCTTTTTATAACATAAAGCAGTGGTTAGCAGTTAAATTTAGTTCTTGAAATATACTTCTTTCTGTACTCAGTAATCTCTCACTCACATCTCAGCTACTTGAATTAGCCCAGAAGTTGCTATTTTGAGGAAACAGTTATGGTATCCATTATTAGAAGTCAGAAAATGCACTATGTCAGTGTGGGGCAATCTATTCCAAAATTGAGCCAAGCTGATACGATGAGCATAGAAAAACATTTTCCTAAAATGAACGGCTAAATCAACATTTATATCCTTCAGTTTCTGGAAAAAAAATACATATTTTTTAATCAAGCAGTATTATGTATAGATGGCATTTCTCCATTAAAAAAGCAATAATTACCATATGAATTTTATTGTAGACATCAGTTAGTCCATCTTTTACAATCAAATCTTCAAGCTTTACCCCACCATACGGTGTTGTTCCTCTGTTCATTACATAGGGGACATTGGACATGCTCTCCATCCCACCTGCCACCATCACATCCTGCTCAGCAACACATAAAAACCCAACGTCAATTCAAATGGTACCACTGACTTTTGAACACCATAGTTAGGAACATCAATCCTCCACACCTGATAATTTGGGTGCAACTTCACAGTTGGCCCTTCCTATCCATGGTTCTAGATCCACAGACTCAACTGTAGTACATATTTATTGAAAAAAAATTGTGCATTAAGTGGACCCAGGCACTTCAAATCTATGTTCATGGGTCAACTGTAGTTGCAAATCCATTATACCCTTTACACAACAAGGACTGTACCTGAACTTTATGAAACATTGCTATACAGTCAATATAAGAAGTACCCTCTTGATGCTGGTAAAAGGAAATGGTCTGAAATGTGTAATGGTAATTAAGATCAGAATCAGACAGTAACAGGAATCTTTAATGTAAAACCATCTTCTGAAATTCTTCTAAATCCTTCACTTCACTGACACTGCCAAAAATATAATCTCAGTTGTCAAAAATAATCCTAGTTCCTTGATTGTGATCCTCCTCATCAACTCTTCCCAAACAGCTATAACAACTTTCTAACTTGGTCATCTGACAGAACCTTTCCTTCCATCCAAGTGTCATCTACACTCATCTGAGTCATCCTGGCTAGACTAAGTCTGGTCATTCCACTCCGTAAAGGACTCCCCAGCACAGTATATAAGGCTCTTTACAATCCGGCTTTTCACTCCCTTTGCAGTCTCATGCCTGGACCTACACGAGTGGAGGTCATACAGAATTGTTTAAAGGTCTTCACACAGACTTCCCTGGTGGTCCAGCAGTTAAGAGTCTGCACTTCCACCGTAGGGAGAATGGGCTCAATCCCTGGTTGTAGAACTAAGATCTCACATGCCGTAAGGCCAAGAAGGAAAAAAAAAAAAATCAAGGTCTTCAAAGATACCATGCTAATTCACACACCTCTGCACTTCTGACCTATTCACCAACAAGTAAAACACCGTCGTTTCCTTTAAAACTAATCGAGACACAGCCCCTTCAACCCAACAAATTGGTTGTCAGCCACTTTCCCTGACTACCTACTTCTATCCCTTTTTTTTCCCCTATCCATTTTTGGAACAGTCTCCCTTCCTTCTTTTGTGTTCCCCAATTACTGTGTATTCCTTTTATTAATAATATTACACAGTACTGTAGCTATATTTATATGTCAACCCTTTTCACTGAACTAGTGAGGCCTTTCTGGCTCCTTTGAGGCCAGAAACTTTGTCCTATCTATTTTTATGTAATTAGTGCCTGGCATATATAGTAGAAGTTTAGTAAATATTAATCAACTAACCTGTAATTACAGATCAACAAGAGAAAATTCATTTGCATTATAAAGGCTAATTTGAAACAAAGTTTAATATAAAAGATTAATGTAAACAAAATTAAAACTAACGTTATAGTCTCACAATCTTTAATCAGAAATAAAGACAAACAGAAATTCCATACCAAAGAAACCTAAATACTTAGCCTATTATGAAATATGGAGAGTCTCAAATAGTTCCTATATAAGTTTTATTCTGTTATCCTGAAATACTGAGTATTTCCTGGGGATGATGAAAATAAGTGACAGAAATCATTATCAATTCTACAGTATTAAATAAAATTGATCATTAGGTAATATTCAAAATAAGGCAATTCCTGCTGCTGCTGCTAAGTCACGTCAGTCGTGTCCAACTCGGTGTGACCCCATAGATGGCAGCCCACCAGGCTCCCGTCCCTGGGATTCTCCAGGCAAGAACACTGGAGTGGGCTGCCATATCCTTCTCCAGTGCATGAAAGTGAAAAGTGAAAGTGAAGTCGCTCAGTCGTGTCCAACTCTTCGCGACCCCATGGACTGTGGCCTACCAGGCTCCTCTGTCCATGGGATTTTCCAGCAAGAGTACTGGAGTGGGGTGCCACTCCCTTCTCCGAAGGCAATTCCTAGTATTCCTCTAAGTCAGATAATTTTAAAAATACAGATATGAATCAAAGAATATTAACTAAAAGTATTTTATAGAGAACCACAGAAGAATCAACTGAGACAAAATTATCCTTGTCATTCAGTTTTCAAACACCTAACGATCTCATGACCATTTTTCACCCACTGGTTTGACTAGGGTTTGATTTGGTTAATACCTGATGTCAGTGTTACCTTATGTATAAGCAAACAAGCTCTCACAATCTTTGGGATATATGTAACTGGTGTAACTTTTTATGGAAAGCATTTGAAAATACCCAAATTTTTAAATCTGTGACTCTGATAGGAATTTTTCCAAAAGAAAGACCTACACATGATAAGATTTTTTTAATGTTTTTATTCACCTGTCTCTGGTGAATGTCCATATATAGTTCCTCAGCGAATGACAAGCAATGCTAGGATTTGAAATTAGTCTGGCTCCAGACTTTCTGTTCTTAACCACTACACTATAATGCTTAGTATAGTGAAGTAAGAGTTGATTTAATTATTTATAAGTAGACAAAGATACACACATAGGGGTACTCTCTGGAGCATTCTTTAAAATAGAGAAGAACTGGAGACAACCTAGATATCCATTCAATAAGGACCCCCAAAATATATTATACTTGTTCAGTTCAAAAGAATACTATCTCAGGTGCTGATACAGATAGATCTCCAATACATTACATGAGGCACAGAAGTTAAGCAACTTGCCCAAAGTTTCTCTGCTCTTAGGTGGCAGAATATACAAGAAAGTGATGAATAAATTAGACACTTAAAGCAGGGTAAGAAGAAAGATTTTTCATTTTATAATTTTCTATACTGTTTCAGTTTTTAGCATATGTATCAGGTATCACTCTTTTTTTTTCTTCCCTCTTTGCCTTGCCTGGAAACAAGGCAAGGGACGAGTAATAGCAAGGGTATGCAAAACTGTGATTCTTATGTATATATAAGAAATAATCTGCAAACACCTCACAACTGGTTTTTATCTTGGTGCATTATGCCCTGATAGGCCAGAATGCACTACACAGGGACAGAGACACCTGTTTTCTAATTTAAGCCCTGTAACTATGTTTGTAGTCATCTCGACCTCTTTCTTCAACTGATAAAAGGGCTTGAATCTGATAAACTCTTAGTTCTGAGTTCAGGTCTAGTCTCCTAACGCAACATATAATTTGCTGAGCAGTCTGTCTCTTGCCCAGTCTCAAACAAGATCAAAATCATCAAGGCCAATAGAATGCTGCACAATTTTACAGCCAAACCTGGACGTGAGGCACAACAAATCAGTCATCAATTCTGGGTTCAGTCAATGATTTCATCCCCAGGGTCAGCACCTTATTCTCACTTATAATGAAAGCCCTTCTCAATATAGCAAATACAACATTTATGATGTCTTAAATCCCCCAGAATCTCTAAGTGGAAGGGGCACTAAAACATCCTAGCTGGAAACTACTTTTAATACAAAACACTTCAGCTATCATTCTAACCTCTACTTCAAATGTAACTGGCAAATCCAAACACACCTCAGTGTCTGAAACAACAGAGAAACTGCACTTAAGAGAAAGAATTTCACTTCTAAAGTATGAATATGTTTAGGCTTTAAGTGTTTTCTTAGCACCACATATGTGTGTGTGTATATATATATATATACATAAAGTGGAAAAGAAGGTACTTCTTACCTGATGCCCACACATAAGATTTTGAGAGGCCATCATGATGGCTTTCATTCCTGAGGCACAAACTTTGTTTATAGTGGTACATGGAGTAGAAACAGGTAAGCCTAAAACCAATATAAATCATACTTTTGAAAAAAACAGATTCTTTTCAAACACAACTGTAATAAAATAGAGCATGTTAAACCATAATCTGAAACATTTCTTTGGTGAATGTAAGTCTATTATGTATTTATATTCTATTTAAGCTGAAATGACCTCCATTTCACCATGTCAAACATTCAAATATAAAAGGAAAAATGCATTCCTAGTACCTGCACCCAGTACTGCTTGCCTTGTAGGGGCCTGTCCTTCACCTCCTTGTAGAACATTGCCCATGTATGCTTCTTTCACTTCTTCTTTTGGAATCCCTTTTTTTAAAAAATCAAGAAACATTTCCATATTTTATTCAACTCAACAATTGGTAATTACCTAGTAAAGCACCTGACTAATTATATAGCAGGAATGTTTTTTTGTCAGTTTTGAGTTTTATTACTAACACTGTAGTCCAAGGACTTCTTTTCAAGAGAATTCAAAAATGCATTCATTAATTCATTTCTAAGTGTTATGTATATAGTAAGTGCAAAATAAACATCTGCTCCAATGAATCACTATTCCCTCAACACAAAAAGTAAAGCAACTACTGACCTGCCTTTTCAATGGCTCCCTGAATTGCAATGGAACCAAGTTTAGTGGCTGGCAGAGACGAAAGACCGCCTAGAAAGGATCCAATGGGTGTTCTGGTAGCACTTACTATGACCACCTCCTGGCAAGACAGAAGATGGGAAAACTATTACATTTAAATATTTTACCAAGTCATCTTTCATAAATAAGCATAATTCATAGATATTCAAGAAACAGACTTGTTATGAGTGACTAATTACTCATCAAAGGTGAAAATAATCTCAGTATTTGAACAGCACTAAAACAAGTATAATGCTAGTACTTTATGACTTAAAACCTAATAGAAAACTAAGACAAACCAGTACTAAAATAGGCATAGACCAGAAGCTTAAGTTTCTATTCCTCAGTCAAAATTTAAGAAATGAATACTTTACCCTTGTTAACTGCGTAATAAACAATCCTAATTAAAGGGCTTCCTTATTGAAAGGAAACTTTAGGCTAGGAATTAAGAACCTACATGCTAGTAGGGGCCACACCGCTTCACTAGGACACAGCCAGAGCCATAATTTCTTTTTATTTTCTTTGTTACTTGGCCGCACTGGGTCTTCGCTGCTGCACACAGGCTTGCTCTAATTGCGGTGAATGGGGGATGCCCTCGAGCTGCAGTGCCAGCTTTCCCACCGCAGCAGCTTCTCCTGTTGCAGAGCATGCACTCTAGTGCATGCGAGCTTCAGCAGTTCTGGCGCACAGGTTTAGTGGCCCCATGGCATGTGGAATCTTCCCAGACCAGGGATCAAACCCTTGTCCCCTGCATTGGCAGGTGATTCTTAACCACTGGACTACCAGGGAAGTCTCACAGCCATCATTTCTTTTTTTTTTTTTTTTCATTTATTTTTATTAGTTGGAGCCTAATTACTTTACAATATTGTAGTGGTTTTTGTCATACATTGACATGAATTAGCCATGGATTTACATGTATTCCCCATCCCGATCCCCCCTCCCACCTCCCTTTCCACCCGATCCCTCTGGGTCTTCCCAGTGCACCAGGTCTGAGCACTTGTCTCATGCATCCTCTTAAACTATTAATAAAACAACATAAAATTGAAGGAAAAAAAGATAAAAGCTCTCTTAAACACTGCAAAACACTATTTTAACAATTCTCTCCTTACACTTGCTTTCTACTTTCTCTTAAGTACATACACACATACATAATTTCTCAGAGATAATAAGAGAACCATTTCGTAGACTCTGGTTGGAGGCTATTACTAAGTCTTTTTAGGAATCCTTATGAAACAAAGAGAGGATCCCTCAGAAACTATTAGGTGATCAAGTAAAGTTCTTCTTGTCTAATCTCCAGCTCATTCAGCCTCTTTCTTCTAGCATCTTCCATGTGGCCTCTGCAATGTACCAGTACAATATACCGGGGGTCCCCGAGAATAAAGGAAGAACACTGCCTAATTTTAGAGACGGCTGTTTACAGTAGACAGTGATCGGGGAAGAAGGAGAAATTATGCAGGGCACTAGGTCTAAAAAATTTTATGGTAATAAGGGTGTTTGACTTAATGTTTCAATAATTAACTATCAAGTTGGCACTCACCTATACATGCAGTAAGAATATGCAGTTTTTAATTGACTACATTTCCTTTAAAGCATATTTAAATTTATACTTACATTCAAAGTGGGTTTTGATACATAACTTCGCTCTGCATACCTTATTTCCTGTAACATAAATATCTGTTATGATGTAAAAAATATTAATCTATATCACTTTATATTTCTCAGCAATGGGAATATGGTAATTTCTTTTTTCTGCATTACACCTTTATTTCTAAATTTTCCAGTTAGCATATATTACTGTTGAAATTTAAATATTACTATTTTTGCAATACTCTTACCTGATTAACTGTTCATTGGAAATGTATGTTTCAACTTCTGATAAGTTTATCATCTTAAAGTTTCTAATCCTTTTTAAGTATAAACTTTATAAAATGTAATTTTAAATTAAATCTGAGTTCTAAATTAAGTAAGCCCAAACTGGGCTGCTGCTTATATAACCTACTTATACTAAAAGATTTGAGCATATTATCTGTGACCGAACTTTGAATTAGAAGTTTCTACTTGTAGAAAACACGCCAGTCATTGTCTTTCCAACTACACCCCTTACTCAGAGTCTGAGAGGGACAGCCCTAAGTACCTACAAGGTGACTCCCATCCTCCTCCCACTGGCCAGAGCTGATGGACCAAAAACGGAATGAACTATGCCCCATTTCAAATATGGAATGAACTAAGCTAGCACTCTGAGAAACCTGATCAACTGGATGATGGGCACTGGAAGTGAAAGGGCCAAGGGGCTGGAGTTAGTCAGCAATGCCACGTAAAAGCAGAGGCTACAGCAAAGAGAAAAGCCATGAGAAAGCAGAGAAGCAAGGGAATGTAACATATACACTCAGAAAGGAAGGAAAGACCATGGCATACGACAGGAGACAAAACAAGGGAACCTAGTTAATGATTTTCTAGATAGGCTTCCACACCAAAGCCAGCTTCACTTTATTTCCTAACTTTGGATGTCCAAGAGCTTACCTAGTGTGTATCTTCAAAAAAGCCACTTTCTACTTAGCTATTGTGGATATTTTTCCTTGCAATCAAAGAGCCTTTTCTAAACCACTGTGAAGTTTCTGGTTCTGTTTAACTGAAGGGTCCCTGGGCCTCCCCACTTTGCCCTGGATCCCATTTCAGTTGCTTTTTCAAAGGTGCCACATCTTCAGTTAACTGTTCCCTCTTCATCATTCATCCCCTTTCAGTTCAGTTCAGTCACTCAGTCGTGTCCAACTCTCATCCCCTTTACTCCTCAACTATTCTGCAAGCACGTGAATAGGCTCTGGCTCCTCCCACCTAAAAGAATTAAAAACAAACGAACTCTTTTAACCCAGAGTCCCACTGAGCTTTCACCCCATTTCTTAGCTCCTCCATACAAGAAGTTCTCCAAGTTACCTAGAATTTGTCTCCTGTCATCACCTCCTATTTACTATTCAACCTACTCAATCTGGCTTTTATCTATTCTACTGTTGGCTTTGAGCAAGATTAACAATATCTGAAGAGCAAAATCCAATAAAGACCTCGCTATGTTCATCTCATCCTCTTGGCAACCTGGGACTCACTTTTATTTTTGGGGAAACACCCACAGTGGTTAAGAGCCTGGGTTTACCAGCTGAGTTTTCCTTTTTTTTTTTTTTAATTGGTAGAAAATTACTTAAAGATACGTGATGGTTACGGTCATATAACAATGCAAATCAGTCACAATTACATATATGTGAGTGAGTCTCTTAAGTCTCCCTCACTTCAGTCGCTCAGTCGTGTCTGACTCTGCGACCCCACGGACGACAGCACACCAGGCTTCCGTGTCCATCACCAACTCCTGGAACTTGCTCAAACTCATGTCCATCGAGTCAGTGATGTGATCCAACCATCTCATCCTCTGTTGTCCCCTTCTCCTCCCACCTTCAACCTTTTCGAGCATCAGGGACTTTTCCAATAAATTAGTTTTTCGTATCAGGTGGCCAAATTAATGAAGTTTTAGCTTCAGGATCAGTCCTTCCAATGAATATTCAGGACTGATTTCCTTTAGGAATGACTGGTTGGATCTCCATGCAGTCCAAGGGACTCTCAAGAGTCTTTTCCAACACGACAGCTGTAAAGCATCAATTCTTCAGCGTTTAGCTTTCTTTATACTCCAACTCTCACATCCATACACAACTACGGGAAAAACCATAGCTTTGACTAGACGGATCTTTGATGGCAAAGTAATGTCTCTGCTTTTTAATATGCTGGCTAGATTTGTCATAGCTTTTCTTCAAAGGAGCAAGAGTGGTTTAGTTTCATGGCTGCAGTCACCATCTGCAGTGATTTTGGAGCCCAAAATAATAAAGTCTGTCACTCTTTCCATTGTTTCCCCATCTAATTGCCATGAAGTGATGGGACTGGATGCCAGGATCTTAGTTTTTTGAATGTTGAGTTTTAAGCCAGCTTTTTCACTCTCCTCTTTCACTTTCATCAAGAGGCTCTTCAGTTCCTCTTCAGTTTCTGCCATAAGGGCAGTGTCATCTGCGTATCTGAGGTTATTGATATTTCTCCCAGCAATCTTAATTCCAGCTGTGCTTCATCCAGCCCGGCATTTTGCATGATGTACTCTACATATAAGTTAAAAGAGCAGGATGACAATATACAGCCTTGATGTACTCCTTTCCCAATTCGGAACCATTGTTCCATGTCCAGTTATAACTGTTGCTTCTACACCTGCATACAGATTTCCAGGAGGCAGGTAAGGTGGTCTGGTATTTCCACCTCTTGAAGAATTTTCCACAGTTTGTTGTGATCTACACAATCAAACACTTTGGCATAATCAATAAAGCAGAAGTAGATGTGTTTCTGGAATTCTCTTGCTTTTTCTATGATCTAGCAGATGTTAGCAATTTGATCTCTGGTTCCTCTGCCTTTCCTAAATCCAGCTTGAACATCTGGCATTTTCCGGTTCACGTACTGTTGAAGCCTATCTTGGATAATTTTGAGCATGACTTTGCTATCGTGTGAGATGAGTGCAATTGTGCTGTAGTTTGAACATTCTTTGGCATTCACCTTCTTTGGGACTGGAATGAAAACTTAACTTTTCCAGTCCTGTAGCCACTGCTGAATTTTCCAAATTTTTTGGCACATTGAGTGCAGCACTTTAACAGCATCATCTTTTAGGATTTGAAATAGCTCAGCTGGAATTCCATCACCTCCACCAGCTTTGTCCTGGTGTAGTGATGCTCCCTCCCTTGAATCTCCCTCCCCCCGCCCTTGTCCCATCCTTCGAAACTGAGTATTCTTGAATGTTAACCTCGGTTTTCTAAAATACTCTGCACAAGTTGTTATGAGAATGAAATGAGCCAATATGTATACACCATTATCCAAACCCTTTTTCTTGGCTTCCATCCTAACATAATCTTGTGGTCCACCTCTTATCTCTCTAGTTATTTTTCTCAGCCTATCATTCCCTTTCCAACCTCTAACTGCTGGAATGTCCCAAGGCTTTGTTCCAGGCCCCTTTTAATTTTTCAAACTTCACTGTCTCCATAATCATATTTAGCCCCATGGCTTTAAACAGCAAGTATGTCCTGATGATTTCCAAATTTCTATCTCTAGCTGTGACCACTCAATTGACCTCTAGACTCATATAGTCAAGTGCCAAATTGATTAGCCTGATTTTACTCTCCAACACAGAGCTCTCAATTGCCACCCTAGAACACTAGTTTCTTTCCAGTATTTCCCACCTCAGGACATCACATCACAATCTGCCCAGGAGCTAAGCCAAAAATCTAAGGACTCACCTTCCATCTTTGCCTAATACCCAGAGATATTCTATCACAGGTACTGAAATACTGTGTCTAAAATATACCTGAATTCTTCCACTTTACTTCATCTGCACCGCCACCGTTTCTTTCCACTGTAATGAAGTTTCTATTTCATTTCCTGCATCCCCAACTTCCCTTCTTCAGTGCATTTCGTTTTTAAAACGTAAATCAGGGAGTTTCCTAGAGGTCCAATGGTTAGAATTTGGCACTTTCACTGCTGTGGCTCAGGTTCAATCCTTGATCAGGAAACTTAGATTCCAGGGGAACTAAGATCCCATAAGCTGCATGGTACAGACCGAAGAAACAAAATCAAAACACACACATACACACGCACGCAAAACATAAATCAGACTGTATCACTCCCCTGGTTAAAATCCTGTGATGGCTTTCCACTGCTCTTGGAATGATATCCAAAGTTTATCCCTTACCCTACAAATTCCTGGCTCTTGGAACTGTAGCTCCTGATGACCTGTATGGTATGATCTGGCTCCTGATTTTCTTTCCATTCATACGACTCTTATTCTGTGCCAGCCACACCGGCCTCCTCTTTGTTCTGGACCCATTTCCACCTCAAGCTCTTTACCGTGTGCCTCTACCAGTTAACAGTCCTTCTCCAGCTTGACTCACCTGGTTCACTTTTGTTCTTCAGGATTCGGCTCAAACAACACAACCGCACAGCACTTCTCCCTGGCTACTTTTAAGTCAGCTTCTATTTCAACATGATTATTTCCTTCAAGGCACCTCTCACACTGTGTAAATACAAGGTATACATATTTATTCTCTCTTCATATAATACAAGCTTCCTGTGATCAATCCTCTCTTTCACGTTCCTCCTTCCTGGTTCACTACTATATCCTTGTCACTTGGCATAATGCCCAGAGCTCATTAAATTTTGCCAGGAATGGCAAAACTATAGTAGGATCAAGACATGTGATGAATGAACATGGCCACTTAAATTTTATTTGCATGTCACAATCATCTTTCAAGGACAGCGCATTTGCTCCAAGCACTCTAGAGACCACTCCTGACAATGCAGGCAGGCACTTCAATCTTAGCTTCTGCAGCACACTTATGCATGCTCTATTTTTCCAAAACATATAATTCCCTCACTGGCCTCACTGTCTCCCTATCACACTGTGAGTTTCAAGAAGAGACTAATTTTATTTTTTGATCCCAATGATGGCAAGGAACACTTAACAAATAAACAAGGTCTGGTCTTACTAGCACCTCTGAAAAACATTTCAGGTAGGGTAAGTACATTTTGAAGTCAACAAAATGGGATAATGAGTTACAGAACGAGGGCCTGTTTCACATAGGATGTTCAGAAAA